ACTGAACATGAGAAGAACAACAGAATCAATCAATGTATTTGGTGTTGGCTTGACAATATGTATGATCTGGGACTTGTAAAAAATATGGCATTTATATGCTTTCCCACAAACATACAGTAAAACTTAAAGGAAATTTATAGCCTTTTGGACATCTAATACATGAATGTGTTTTACATTAGCATGACTCAAGAAAATAATTTAACACTAAAAGCTACTTCCAAAGCTTAAGCAATAGCCTTTCAGAAATTACAGAAATGTTTCAGATTCTTGGTTAAGACGCTAGGAATGCTAAGATTACATAGGAGATTTTATGTGGTCTGTTCCTAAAATAACAGCAACCAGTAATTAGTTGGTATAGAGAATGTTCACTGATATAGCAAATGAACCAATCAGGCAGAATTACATTCTGATTAATTGGGAAATATATCCAGTGATGAGTCTTAAAGATAATATTGGGACAGTATATTGCACTTTATTTTTTTTTACTAGGAGAATGTTTTCCTATTTTCCAGGCTAAATGCTATTTTAAAAAATGCTGACTCTTTTCCTGAAAGAATGATTGGCCTTCCCTCTGGGAAAGGAAGGACATCCTCTTAAGTAAATAATTACGCTGGGTCAAGATCCCTGGCCCAGCCTGTCCCTGATACTGGATAGTCCCAAATGATGAAATATATAACTGATTGTAGACATATCTCAATTATTTAATCAGCATAATTTGCTCAAGCTTTATTGTTCATTTCTAGCGTTTGACAGGATATCCTAAGCTTTAAGCCACAGGTTTTGTCTTGCCTGCCACTATCAAATTCCACATTTATAGACATGGCACATTTTGAAGATATCTTTATTGTTTCTGCATTACATGAAACCGTATGCCATTTTATCTTGCTCCTTTTTCCCAGATAGTTTCTGCTGGTTTTGTGAGCTTCTGCCTGAAAAATTATAGCCTTGCTTATAGGGAGCCCTTTTTGTGTCTCCCAATATCTTCTTTAAGATCAAAACTGAATGTGTTGCTTGAAAAAGTCCAACTATGAAACATTTTACTTGCAATTTCAGAATTGCCTATATTGCCTATAAACACTATATTATAGGCTTGGAAAGATCAGAAACCAAACTTTCGTTTATAATGAATCCTAAAACAACTGTCTTCTGAAAACCTGCTGTAACAAGCCTGGGTTAAAACAAGCAAGCGAACAAGACTAGTTTGAAACATCAAGTTCAGGCCTGCCCTGAACAGACAGTTGTTAACAAGGACTTTCTTCAACAGATTCATCTCTGGCTATTTTATTTTTTTCACTAAAGCCAGGCAGAACACACCCAACCACCCACGTAAAAATCTTTCCTGATAGAGGAAGTATTCTACAGATGATTGGATTCTGACTATCATCCCAGGTCAATGGATTGAGATTTTTCTGGGCCAAAGGCAAGACTTGGCATTTAACAGGTATATTTATTATTCGAATAAATACCCCAAGTTTCTTTTGAAAGATCAATAGGTAAAACTAAGACAGAAATTCTTTCTGATTTCATTTAACTGTAACTAAAATATATGAAATATTTAGATATTAATCATGTAATCATTGTTTGATCATTTCCTCTTCTTATGTTAAAATTAACCCTAATTGCTTGAAAGTCATTTCAGGATTACATCAAAGCCTTCTTGAAGCTCATATATTGTTGGGGGCCAGACGGTGTTGTTCTTTGGTTTTGTAGTATCCTAAATCTAAAGCCTTCAGGACTGGTCCCAGGTTTCGGGAGTCTCTGGGCAAAATGCACTCAAATGGGCGTACTTTGTTAGAAGACGCTAAGACGTGCTGAGTAGTGTAATGTACCTACACTGAATAAAGCTAAATTGGGACTTCTATGAAATTCAATCCTTTGCTCAACCCAGCCATTTAAGATACGTAAAACAAAAGTTAAGGGACCATAATTGACACTGCTTCTGAGTTAAAGTTCCAGGTGAACCTACATAACATTACTGAGGAAGATTATATGGGGATGAAGAACACCTTCTCTTGTAGTTAACAGAACCTAAAACAGAAATATTCAAAATGTGATTAGCGAACAACTAATCTTAACATACTTGATTTAACCATCTCTTTGTGCTATTCATACCTTCTTTATTTACCTAATTTTCATAATGTGTTTCTTGACCTTAAGGATTTTCATGATTCTGTTCCAATGCTAAACCTGAGATTTTAGCAACGGGAGCTTCAATATTCGCATTTACTTTTAAACCCTTAAAATGTTTCCTCTTCCTCCTCTTTGACGGACACGTCCACAGCATTTTGCTGGTCTACTAATTTAGTCACTTTATCAAAGAATGAAATAAGATTGGTTCAGCATGATCTGTTTTTTAACAAACCCATGCCAGCTACTAGTTATAACTTTGTTTGCTTTCTAGTTGTTTGCAGATTTGATTTTTGATTATCTAGGATCTTCCCAAGGTATTGAAGTTAGACTGATTGGTCTGTAGTTTTCTGGGTCTGTTTTGTTTTCCTTTCTTGAAGATGGGAACCACATCTTCAGGTACTTCCCCGGTGCTCCAGGATTTTTGAAAGATATGGTGCAATGGTTCTGAGATAATATCTGCCAGCAACTTCAGAACTCTGAGATGTAATCTGTCGGGTCTCGTTGAATTATATTCATCAAGGTTGGATAGATGTTCTCTTACAACTTTCTTGCTTATTTTTTGTTCCTAGTTTGTCTTTTGCAGTAGGTTTTTTTTTTTGTATGTTGTGTGAAGACTGATGCAAAGAATGAGTTAAGCAGCTCTGCTTTCTCCCTACTGCCCATTACTTCCTTGCCATCTTTTCTCTTTTGTGGACCTACAGTTTCCTTGACTTTTTTCTGTTATTAATATGCTGAAAGAAACTTTTTTTATTATCCTTGATTTCTGTTGCAAGTCTTTGTTCATTCTGAGCCTTTGTTTTCCTGACTTTATCTTTGCATGTTCTGGCTGTCTGTTGATAATCAGACTTAGTTATGTGTCCCTCTTTACATTTTTTTGTACTTGTCCTTAATGTCTGAAGAGCTTCATCTCTAATGCATTCTATTAAAAGGAAGACAATTCATTTTAGTGTCCCAAAGAGGCCTTTTCAAAAGGCAACTGGACTTTCTTTCAAAAGGCAACTGGACTTTTCTGGACAATAAAATCCAGCTGCCATGTGAAAAAGCATCTTTGGGACGACTGGGACCTGGATGACTGAGAATCTCCATAGACATTCATTTTAGTGGCTATTGGTTTCTTTATAAGAAAAAAAATGTATAGCTGGTACAGTATATCAAAATCTTTTCACTGATAATGCCATAATATTCAACTCTGAAATAAATAAGAGGGAAGCCAAACTCACAGCATGCTTTAAAATACTTTGAATATTTACCTTAAATTTCAGTAATGAATCTTCACAAAATATTCTGAAAGCAGTTCATAAATATAATCAATGCATAATGCTTTAGGACAAATAAAATACCTTACTATACCAGGATAAACTTGTGCCAAACCTCTTAATGTATATTGATGCAACAAGCAGACATAAAAACATCAAGAATAACATCAGTTATTTGGTGAACTCTGTCCATCGAATTGAACCATATAATTGTATATACATATTTCTGATGGTATGGTGCAGAGTATGAATACAAAAGTGCCTTTGCCAAGCCACAAAGCTTATTAATGTTCATTAAATATACTGCAACAGCTGCTGACCTTCATACATAGTTAAAAAGAACAATATTTTATTTTCTAATTGCTCTTAGTATTAATTATACTTTCATGTGTTTATTAGCCAGAGATCTCCCTCAGCAATTTTTAAATTAACATATTTTCCTCAGGTATCATAAAAGCAGACTATAAAGCAATCACAACAAAATTGACACTAAAATTACTAAAATATCAATTCCAGCATACTTTCCCCCCCCAAAAGCCAGGAGACAGTAACATGGGAAAAAATGTCAGATATACAGAAAAACAGGGTTTTATCTAGTGTCTTTTGTATCAGAGACAAATTCCTTGTGTGACTAATCACACCTGGCCAAATAAAGTATTCTATTCAATTCAAATCAAATGCCACATTGGAGGTTTGATTATACAGAATGGAACATTAATTTCTCTTTCATTTTGACTGATCTAGATTTGAACTCTATAGAATTTACTCACTGCATTTTGAAATAGATGATCCATATAGTCCATGTTAATAACTGGCATACCAACCCAAGGAACTAAAATACCCTTCTTGTTGGAGATGTCAATAGAATTATTTTTATTATTTATTTTTCACATTTCTGAATCACCCATCTCCCCCAAAGAGAGAGCAAAATGACCTATGTGGAGTGACCTCCAGTTTCTCACCCTTGATCCACTAAATACATACTCAAGGTCTACTAACTCTAATGAAAAGAATAAAAGTTAAGTCACTATAAATGTAAACACAGCTTCAGAATCCGCAAGCTAATTTTGAATGTCCACGTTGTATATCCATAAAAATAGCTCTCTTGTACCTTCTATTTTGCAGTAATAACTTTGGGCAAGTAGTCTGGGAACAAAACTGAATTATTTTCAGTCAACATTATGTTTTAATTTATACAGTACAGTACAATATCACTTTTGCCATAATGGATAATCTTGAGAATATTGTTCAATCATATTGCGGGATCACCAACCTAGGAAAAGAGAGGGAATAATTCTTTCCCCACAAACTAGAGTTGCCCTTATTTCTGTAACACCGAAATATACAGTTTAATGTCATTTCACTTTCGCTAGAGGTCCTGCAGCCTTTACTTATGATTTAGATTAAATTTGTTTGCTTGTTTGACTATATGTTCAAAATACTCTCTGCTTCTTCAAACAGGTTTTCCTCTGGGAGAAAAAGAGTGAAATGACCCCAGGGATAGTCAACTACTGTATGTCCCTCTGGTGCAACATCTGGAGATATTTGCTGGGGGAAGGTATCTTGGCAAGGCCAATTCCCTCTGCTTCTCTATCAGAGGATGTGAGAACTCACCCAGAAGAGCAGATTGAGGGCGTAAAGCAGGCACCGCAAACACTTCACCGAATCTTCTCTGGCCATTGTGATCTCCTCTTGGTGAAAAGCCCCATTCTCACACTGGCTACATTCTCTTTTTAACCCCCCCAGTTGGAAAAGCTTTCACAATCTGAAAAAAATAAAAGGGAGGAGAGGAGAGGTGAAAGAAGAGAAAGGATTATCTCATGGGGGGGGGGTAGACTGAAAGAAAGTAAACAACGGAGTGCAAGATCAACCTGTTGCATTGTGGAAAAGAAACAATTCCCCCCTGCAGTATTTTACCAAACTAACCCAACCTTCTGTTTTTTTACTTCAGCCTCTTCCTTGGTGCCAGAAATTGATCTAGAGAGTGAGGAAACATAGCAAAGATCAACCCCCCTCCCCCCCGTTGGTAAATAAATACAAAAAAAAAAAGACAGACATCGTGATGGAATTTGCGGCTAACTGACATGTGTTCATTAGAATCCGCCTTGACTGGTGCCTAATTTTTTCAGAACTGAAACTTTCTTTTTCTCCGAGTGCCCATTTCACCTCTGCACCGAAACGTTGCTGGGAATAACGACACCTGCTTTGGAAGGGTGGGAAACGTTCGCCCTCTTATTACTCATTAACGACCTTGATAGCGCGCGTAACGGAGGGCGGCGAAAAAGTTGCGCGATCAAGACAAAGTAGTTCCCCATCTTCACGCTATGGCCAATTTCGGGGAGGGGGGGCAAAAAAGAGGACTTTTCCTTACTAAGGAAGGGGAAGAACACGCCTTGCTTTCCAGATTTAGTAGGATTCAGGGCGTGATCCCCGGATCTGCTGGACTGTCAAAGGAAAAGGCGAGGTTAACTTGTCCGGGTGGAAAAGAACGAAGGGAGAAAGAAAGGTCGTCGAACAGCCTCGTGAAGTGCAGGGCTGGGGCAGCGGAGTTACGCGCTTGGGCCATTTGGTCATCGGCTCCTTCTCCGCAGATGCTGCTACTGAAGGAACGCCACGACTATGGGCTCAGTCCACGCTTTCCTTTCCCTCTCCGATGCTGGCACTGAACCAGGAGCCAATCGGACCTAGCTTGTATCAGAGCTTCTACTTCTGAGTAGACAATGCGGGCAGGGAGGGGAAAGATGTAGAGAAAGTCCAGGAACCTACCACGCTCGCCACATGGCTGCGCAAACACCCCTCGTCCTTCTCCGAAAAGGGAGTCAAATCCCAGCAAGCAAGTTCCGTTTAAAAGCAGGAGCTTTCCGGCTTAGAGCTTTCCAGCTCGGCCAGAGGAAAAGGCTGCTGGGGCAGGCGAGAACTTCACTTGCAAACTATTTCTTAACTCCCACCTCCTTGCCAAGCCCTGAGTGGCGGCTCTTCGAAAGGCAGCCGCCAGCTGCACAAATCGTTGCCACGCATGCTCCAGATCCCCTCTTCTGTCGGGTCTTAGAGCCCGCTGGACAGGCATTTCTTTTTTTAATTTTGCTCAGTTTTTTAAACAGAGGTAACCGGCAAATGGACAGTTTGCTCCCTACTTTTGGCCTTTGTAACTTGTCTCTAGCTGTAATAATGCTAAGGTTAATGCCAATAATATTTGGCACAATCACCATCAGTTAATTGCAAAAGGCAGTTTTACTTGGAACAGCTCACATCCTGCCAGGATACCTTTAGCACTATCAAACAATGACACCTGCCTATCTCAGATCCTTGGAAAAGACTCAACAGGTGGATAAAAGTGTCAAATCCAGTCTAAACAACTGGCTGATTGCAATCAAACATAATAATAGGCCAGAACTGAAGAAATCATCAAAAGATTAAAAGTGCACATCAGGCAAAGAAGCAGAAGCAGTAGTTTATATATTCAGTTTAAGCAAGAAGATTGCACAAAGTGATTATAAACAATGACATAACACAGTTGCCAAAATGATTCCCTGGAGCATCTGTAAAAATTGTGCCAGTAATGAGAAGTTGGTGGGACTTGTATAATTGAAAAATAACTGAAAAGGGGCAGGTTAAAATATTGTGGGATTTTTCAAATACAGAAATGATAAAGACTTGGCTTAGAACACACCAAATATAACTGGCTGAAAAGAAGAAAGTGTTGATAACTGATGTGGCAATAACAGGGGATAGCAAAATAAAAGACAAAGAACTACTATCATAAGATCACTAAGTATCAAGATTTAAAAATTAAAGATTATGGCATAAACTGGCCATGGTGGTCCCAGTGATTATTAGCACCCTTGGTACCATACCAAAAATCTTGAATGGTACTTTATGGTGTCATTTTCTCACTATGCATTGTCAAAATTTCCATCTGTCAATTACAAAAGGCCATGGTACTTGGATCCATATATATGCTATGCTGATACATTGTGACATCGTAGATTCTTTAATACAGGTAGTCCTCAGCTTATGACCACAATTGAGCCCAAAATTTATGTTGCTAAGCAGGGCTTTTTTTGTCATAGAATGCCAGAACGGAGTTCCGGCACCTTTTTTGGATGGAACCTTGTAGGGTAGGCAAGGCGGGTTATATGACTTCTGGCACCTTTTTTTTTTTTTTTTTTTTTTTTTTTTTTTTTTTTTTTTTTTTTTTTTTTTTTACAAAAAAAGCACTGTTGCTAAGTGAGAAATGTATTGTGAGTTTGCCCCATTTTACAACTTTTTTGCCATTTTCTTTAGTGAATCACTGCAGTTGTTAAGTTAGTAACATGGTTGTTAAGTGAATCTGGCTTCCCCACTGACTTTACATGTCAGAAGATTGCAAAAGGGGGTCATATGACTCGGGGCACTACAACTGTCATAAATATGAATGAGTTGTCAAGCATCTGAATATAACTCACATGACTGTGAGGATGCTGCAACGGTCATAAGTGTGAAAAATGGACATAATTCACTTTTTTCAGTGCCATTGTAACTTCAAACAGTCACTAAACAAACCATTGTAAATCAAGGACTACCTGTACCTTGATGTATATTAAAGAACTGACAGCTGTGATTTCACATTGTTATCAAACAAGAGTTTGCCAGAGGCAGAAGTGTGGATGCATAGAATGTTTGTTTATTCTAATCACTTGATTTTAAGATGGAAATAAAGATCATGGATTAGAGATTACAGGAGAGAGACAGCATAGCAAGGAGATGAGCAACAGAGCACTCTAGGAAATGTAGCTGATAGAAAACAGAAATGAAGCTTTTTTCAATCTCATTGTGAAATTGTAAAAATATTCATATGTATAAATAACCATACATGAAATCTGCAATTCTATACATATTTGTCTAAGAAATCAAATTGAGTCCAATGGGATTTAACTTCCAAACAGTCATGTATGTGGTAATGCTGTAAAACTCAACCCTGCTGTTCCACATAGTTGATTAGCAAATATTTGATCTACTGCAGTTTGAACCTGTTGACTTAGATAACTTCTTCATGAGAGCCTCATTTCAGTTTTCAAAGGTTCATCCTCAAAAATTGTGGGGTTAAAACATACAATCTTTGTGACACCAGAAAGTACCAACACAGTCCAATAACTTTAATTGGATATCACTGTCCAAGCACTCAGTGTCTGAATAGTTATCTATTCAAAAGGTAGATGTCTACGTATTCAGAAGAATGATGAGATGGATGGAAACAAGTTAGTAAAAATATAGCAGAGAGACACGTTGATTCCAAAGATGAAGGGTATGAGGAGAAACATTTCAGTACAAAAAACAAACAATGTGTATGCAAATCTATATGTCCATGGTGTCTTCTGGTAGATCTCTGAAATATATTCTGTCTTTATCCATCTATGGTCTGCTTGAATATCTCAGTAAGGAAATATTGCAAAGACATTTTTTTAAATTTAGACAAGCTTTTAATCCATAAACAGAGTTATAAAACATTATAATAAGGGGTGCTTATTTGCATCAATTTTATTTATATTTTCTCCATATTTTTCATTTACCTTTTTAATCTATTGTTTTGTTGATTAGATTTCTATGTGGTATTTCTATTATTTCTTTTAGGTACCTTGAACACTGTTCAGTGGAAATGTGAGTTTAAAATGTAAATGCATTTTTAAAAAATGTTTTAAAATGTTTAGGATCCCTGATCTGTCCAAACTATGATAATTTGAGCGTACTCATTTGTGCCTCAAATGAAAACTCTGGGTTGATTTGTCTGATGATTCATTTTTGGTTCGTTTCTTGGCTAACCATGGCATTCTCTGGAGTCTTCTCTAATACCAAAGTTTAAAAATGCTCTTTCTGAAAACCAAAGGGAAAATCATTGACTGCACAATTCTGGTCTTTATAGGTACAGATACATCAAGGGATCTGAATATCTTTCAAGACCTTGGTGGCTGCTTTACATAGTGCTAGTCTGAGGAGTATTTCTTGACTGCTTTATTGTTGATGGTTGTTCCTAAACAGCAGGAGCCTTCCACCACTTCAATATATTCAGTGTCAGCTATTAGACTTGGTTGCTCTATCTGCTATCTTTCCTTAAATTTCTTTAAGTTCATATTAATTGAAGGCTTCCAATAGTATTCATTTATGAGAGACCCATCAGCTAATTTACCTGCAAAACCTATCCTGTGAAGACAATTAAGGCTTAGAGTTTGCAAAAACATGCCACCCAATTGGAACATGAAACAATCAGAGCTTCTCATGCCCATTTCTACAAGCTTGTCCTTAAATCCTGAATGAGAGGTCCCAAAGCACAAAGAAGTTCAGATGAAATGATATGGACTTTAAAAAAAAAGATCTGCTAATATATAGTATCCAGTGAGAGATGAAACAGTCTGGGGAAGGTGAAAGGGAAGTGCTGGAAAGATCAACAGGTGTGCATCAGGAACAGCTGTATAAACTCACAGGAAAGAAGAGGCTGCAAAATTGGCAAGCATGCAGTGGGAAGATTGATGATAGGTCACTAGGAAGATAAGGGGTTGGAGATCCAATACACAGATTTAGAAGGTAGATTTAAGATGTTCATGCGGAGCCATCTTCTGAAATAGACTAACTAGGGCCAAATATTGGCTGAAAATTCCAGGAGATTGAACTCCATGGCACTAGGCTGGCAGAGACTGAATTAAGATTCGGGCCCACATAATTATTGAAATATTAAGCATTTATTGTTCTTATAACCACATTTTTTATATGAGTTCAAGACAAAATTGGGAGAGGGAGGCTTTCCTGAGCTGTTGTTGCTTTTGTAGGGAGGGGCAGAATTACTATATTCCATATTAAGAAGTGTTCATTGGCGCTGATGGAGAACAACCTTTGGGCTGGGGGTCAGCCAGCATTTCTTGATTTTTTGCAAAACCGAGGAAAGCAGATGCATAGAAGGCTGATCAGGAGAGAGTCATTGGGGTAGGAAGGTGAGCTAACCTTTTCCCAGACTCTTCTCTTTCCTCAACAAAATCAAACAAAAGGGGAGCTGGTTTAAGGCCTAATGCAAGCTAAGCAAAATCAAAATGTGGATGTGGCTTAGTGGTCATGCAAAGATGGTCCTGGTCTATTTAAGACAGGCATGTCAAACGCATGACGTCACATGACATCACGCGACGTATCGCGACTTTTTCCCCATTGCCGGCAAAGGGGTGGGCGCGGTTTCAGCGTGACGCATCCGGCCTGCGGGCCAGCAGTTTGACATGCCTGATTTAAGAGTTAGGATCCCAAGGCAGAGCCATTCTCATTCCTTGCTACCTGATTCTTTTAACTGATAAAATAGTTAAGTGAATAAACTATAACTCAGCAAGAGATATTTCCCAGATACTTCATAGCTGTAGCTTGCAGTAGCTATCAAAACCAAGATATTTGTTGGTGTGGGCAACAGTTAAGAGAGTCATCACCCCTCTGCAAGATAAGCCCTAGAGAGGCACTAAAATGTATATCTGAAGCCATCCCAATAGTTTAGGATTTGGGACAGAAAATACAAGCATTTTTCTTTGGCAGTAATAATGCAGTAATAAAGACCAGTTAGGGGTGGTTTGGTGTGGTTTTTAGGGATCTATTTAAAGTAGGCTATCAATAATACATTCAAACTCTATGGTAAAGCCTTGTGTATTTTGTATTCTGACTATTTTAAAATGCAGCTATTACTAGAAACATCATTTTAAAAAAATCTAAATTCTAACCATCAAACTTGATGAATTTCCAAAAAGTAATCATGGTTAACCCTGCTTTCTACTTGGCAGGATACCACTAAGACAGTTGAGG